TTGCCCATAGCCCGTGAAAGATGCTCTCCTCATCATTCAGGCTCCTCAGCCATTGCCGGGGCAACGGCATCCCCAGTGACCTGTGCCATAACGATGAGCCCACAGCCCTCAGCACCGCTGCCTTGCTGAGGTTCCTGCTGGCAGGAGCTACCATCTGGTTTCAGAGAGCAGCAGAGAAAACCCCGCATTTATATACACAGGCTGCTCTGGTTGAAACCCCAGGCTTATCTAAAGAGCAAGAGATATCCCAGGGCTTGCCTGGCCCTAGCATCACAGGCAGCCCTCACTGTCCTGTGCTGCTCCTTGGCACCCACTTGGGGAGAAGCCCAGCACTTGAAAGCTGAAGCAACCGCAGGAAGGAAAGGAAAAGCCCCTGGGAAAGGCACAGCCCATCCCAAATTTATGGCCCCCTAGAAAGAGAGACCAGGCTGAACCTGCCTGCCCAGGATCCTGGTTTTGCCTCATATTTCCTGCACACACAGAGGCCAAACACAGGCCTCCACACCTCAGCACACACCCAGAGGCAAAAGCATCAAGGCTGAGCACAGGACTGGAGCCACTGCACTCTCGTATAGACCACCCCATGCAAAAGCACCTCACAAACACAGACTTGCACGTTCACAGGCACAAAGGCATTGCCCAGCCCTACCTAACCCATACATTGCCACCCCAGCCACCCTGCCAGCTTCCTCCTGGGCACAGCACATCCTCCATACCTGCAGGGCACATATCATGCCAAAGGAAGGGGGAAGGCCTCATACACCTCTACCGACACACACAAACATTACATCCACACTGCACACACGGGGACAGTCATACATATCCACACTGCTGTCCACTTACGAGCCTGGTGTCCCCCGAAGCCTTGGTTGTTGTCCAATGACACTTGGTTGTTGTCTAACGCGAGCTAGCAGTGATGGCTGGGGAGCATCCCGCCCCCAGGGGCGTCCTGCGCTGTCTCTGGAGTGCTCGGGCTTTTAATATATGTCTTGAGTTGCAAAGCAAAGCTGCCACAAGTGGAGCTGCCTGCACCCCTGCCCAAGCAGAGGAGCAGATGAGGTGGCCAGACAGGCCTCTGTGGTGTGCAGGGAGGATGCACACACATGTGTGTGTCTCGTCAACACAGCATGCTCATCCCCTGAGCATCCTCAATGTCCTCAGCAGCAAGGTGCACTTCAGAGGAGTTAACAGCAGCTGGCTTTGTGTCTGGGGGATGAAAGAGGAGGAGGGAACTGTGCTGCTGAGGGACGCTCCCAGGGACCCTCCCCTTCCCTACCCATGCATCCCTTTCTCCCCGTGCCAACTCCTCAGTGGCTGGAGGGACTCCAGACATCTCCCAGGGCAGAGCATGGCTACAGATCACAGCCATCCCATGCAGCTCTGTGTCCAGGAGCTCCTGAGTCCCCAGTAAACCTTGGGGAAGGGCCACTGCCCACTCTGAGGGCAGGCACAGCCAACAGCCTCCCAGCTGGGCTTGCACCTTGCCACACAAGGGGATGCACGGGCATTGTCTGAGCCGCCTGCTGCTGTTCCCATCCCAGCTCTCTGCCCTAAAGAAAAACAAAAGTAGGGACCATTTTCTGGCTTCACAGGCTGTGTCACAGCAACTGCTGCAATGGAAAATTTGCCGCAGCAGCCCCATTTTAACACCATCCCATTCCATTCCCTCTTCTCACTCTCAGTGAGCGGGAGGCCAAATGTGCTGCTCAGGACTCCCAGCAAAGAGAATTTGGAAAGGATCACAAAATGCATCTTTCGCCAATTTCTGCCTTTGTATTTCATTCACAAAGCCACTCTAACAACTAGTTTGCAAAAAAAAATCTGCAACCACAAGTGATAAGGAAGAGGTTAATTTTCACACCCTTCCTCTAACATCCAGCTGCTTGCAGTGGCTGAGGGTGGATTGGTCCCACGGGGCTGGTCTGAAAGCACCAGCACCCAGAATCCCTTCACTACCAAAGGTTTGCTTTTTTTTTATCTTCAAAGCTGTAAACTTGACTTGTTCTGAAAACCTGGACAGCGGGGCGTCCAAAAGAAGAAATGGGCAACTTTTGCAGCCTTGGCAGGGAGGGACACCTCCTGCTCTTGCCCCCACGCCACAGATCCCGGTACTGGGGACAGCTCACAGAGCAGGGGCAGCAGCACAGTGTCCTCCTTCCACCTCTCCTTTTGCTCCCTGCCTGCAGCTGCCTTCAAAAGAAACGTGAGACCTCCAGGAGCTGCTCCCTCCAGCACTACATTGAACAAGACTTTATTTTCCGTGCACATCGTTGTGGCAGTGACCCCAGGGGACACCCAGCCCTGCCACATGGATTGCCCTGGGACAAAGAGCCAGGAGGAGGGGCCAGGGAAGAGAGGAAGAAATAAATAACAGCATCTCACAGAATCACAGAATCACAGAATGTTAGGGATTGGAAGGGACCTCGAAAGCTCATCCAGTCCAATCCCCCTGCCGGAGCAGGAACACCCAGATGAGGTTACACAGGAAGGCGTCCAGGCGGGTTTTGAATGTCTGCAGAGAAGGAGACTCCACAACCTCTCTGGGCAGCCTGTTCCAGTGCTCTGTCACCCTCACTGAGAAGAAGTTTCTTCTCAAATTTAAGTGGAACCTCCTGTGTTCCAGTTTGTGTCCGTTACCCCTTGTCTTATCATTGTTTGTCACCGAGCAGAGCCTGGCTCCATCTCACCCCAACAGGGATGGCATTGAGCTGAAACTCTCCTCCACAGCCAGGATAGCTTGCATGTGTGTTTTATAGCAGTGGGACAAACAGCCTGTGGCTCCAGAGAGGTCAGAAATTAAATAGCATCCGATTAAATAAGCACGCATGGCTGAGACATCCAGCACCAGGGCAGTCTCCTGCTGCCAAGTGAATAAACCTTACCCGTTGCCATTCACCAGGATACCAGGATCAGACTCCACAGCTGGTAGAAGAAACACATCTTGCACACACCGAGTTTATTAAAATATGTGTTTTATGGGTCAGCATTTCCAGATTTACACCAGGATTTATGTCTTATGTAAAAGCCATATTGTATCCCCTGCAACCCGCCAATACTCAGCCTTTGAGAACACACAGAGTTTGGCCACCTCTCCTCCAAACATCTTCAATTCATGCATTGAAGGTGATGTGTCCCCTAAAAGGTCAGCCTTTCTCAACTGAAAACACAGCTTAAAAAAAACCCCACAAACATACAAGCTTCCTCCAAAACACATTTACATCTCTCAGAAAAGAGAAACCAGCCAAATTATTTACCTGTTTTCCTGGCACACGTCACATAACAACAGCTCCCTTACATAGACCAGTTGTGTAAGGTCCCCTGGCCACATCCCTGAGCCATAAGCCACAGGAACCACCCCTGCACCAGTGCTCCCATCCTTACACACATCCCTTCACAGCACCACAGCATCCTGGCTCCCATCTGCAATAAATCTCAGCGCTCGCCTCAGCTCAGCTGCCAGCCATAGGTTCAGACCTGCAATTACTTGTGGGACAGTTATTTATTAGTCAATGTCCAGCTGCCAGATTTACAGCTACAGATGCTTGATGCAGTTGCAGGCAGCAAACACCCAAGCGTCCATGTCTGTAAATAAGCTATTAGGACACCTGGATGACCTGCAGATCCAGCTACAATTACTTACAGGTGGAACAGAGAGGTCCTGGTAAGCCATGCCAAAACCTGCCCCTGAGCCTGCAGTTACAGCTCCAGCAGATGTGCTTGATGATCCACCAAAAGCATCTCAGTCACCTCAGATCCAAGCGTTACTGAACTTCACAGAAGGAAAGAAAGGGCAGACCTGTTGAACTGGGCTTGGTTTTAGCTAAAGAGCATCTGGGCCAAGAATCCCCCTCACCTGTGCTCTTTCCCCATCATTGAAGTTACAGCTCAGCAGCAGACCTTGGAGTGATCCTGCCCGCTGGCACTGGTGACCTAACAAATATCTACTGCTGTCCAAATGGGCAATTTTCCATGTCCTGTCTGGTGCTGCCACTGTTGGTACAAGGTCTTATAACACTGAGACTCACCACGAGGAGCTTGCCCATGTTAATCCTTCTGGGAAAGAGCCAAGCTTGTGGATAAACCCAGACCCCAGCGATGCTTTTACAGCCACTTTAGATCTGAATATGTGCAAACCCACAGCTGAACTGCCTCAAGCAGGATGGGAACCATGGAGATAGTGGCACAGCAGCAGGGATGTGAGCTCCCAACTCCTCTGGCTGCATCCTGCCCAGACAAGGGGTTATTTTGGAACAGGAGAGCTGGCAGCACGACCTCCACCGAAGAGCTGCTGCACGAGGAGGAAAAGAAAACCCAGCGGCAGTTTAAAAACACTCAACCACTCTACACAAGGTTTTGGGGTGGAAGATGAGGAACAAACCACAGCAGTTGGCTGACTTTGTGTAGAGTCAGAATAGAGTTGTCCAAGCTGGGATGTGATCAGAGGCTTCACTACAGGGTAGTGACTGTAACAGGACCTGACATCTGCAAACACCCAATGCCTTGGTTTTGCATCCCCTCTGGCAGATGGCCCAAAGGCCAGAGTCTCCCATTGCTTTGTGCAGGACAGACACCTCCTGTACCAGCCACTAATTTCTTCTGAGGCCTGGGCTCTTCACAGCAGCTTCCCACACAAGCACTGACTCCAGCAAACATGCAAGCTGGTTGTCAGTCTACACAGAGCATTTCCAGGCACAGCCCAGCCCTGGGACTACACCTCCTTATACCCCACCTCTCCCCAACACCATCTCCAGCTGCTGTGGCAGGAGGTCCAGCTTCATCATTTCCCTCACCCATCTCTGATGCTGGAGTACAGAAGAGGGATAGCAGCTTCACTGCAATCAGGGCCTAAAGGACACAGATCCTCAAGGACATACAGCGCAAAAAGCAGGTCAAGGTAAGAAGAAACATAAGAGTTTTACTGTTTGTATATAAGCAAGGATCCTCTCCCTGCCCTCACCCACCCTGCCAGGGTTGGGCAAGGGAGGTCAGGGTGTGGGAAATCATCTCCTCATCCAGAGGTACAGGTTGAGGAGGCAGGCGGAGATCAGCACGGAGTAGACCAGGGCCTCCTTCTGTCGCCAGGCGTTGCACCGCTCCTCCAGCACGCGGAGCCTTCCCGAGATCCTCGTCAGCTGCAAGGGAAGCAGTTGGGATGCTGCGGTAAAGTGCAGGACACTGGCCACACCTTGGGACAGCAAGGGATGGAGGGATGGGAGCTGCTGCCTCCTTCAGCTCCTTTTCTAGAGCAGCAGCTCCCTTTGTGTGGGAGAACCAGCACATGCTTCAGGAAAAGCTCCTGCCCACCAAAAGAGCATCTGAGCCCTTTCCTCCCAGCAGATGGAGGGGTCTGGCTGTCTCCTGTAGCCCTACAGCCCCTCAGGGTAGGAGCTTGATGGGTCAACATACATGTAATCCCTCTCCTGCTTCTCCATTAGTAGCATCAGCTGGGAACGGCTTGGCAATGCCAGCCCATCAGGACTGAGCAACAGACCCCTGGAGCATCCTCACATCCCCATCCTAGGGCTTTCCCAGGAAACATCTGCAGCCCCCATCTCACCTGCTTTCTCATTGCTGCTATCTCAGCCACCCCAACCTCCTCCACGGTGCTCTCTAGGGCTGGGCCAGCCTCCTGGGAGCTAGGGAAGAAAAACAGAGATGTAGACAAACATGGCTCGAGAGGTGCAGCTCCCTTCATGCTACCACAGGGAGCCATGTAGGCAGTGTGTGTGCGCCCAGGACCCGCTGTCTGAGTGCAGCATCAGCAGAGAGAAAAAGGCACTTGCACAGCATCGACTCATCCCTTAACCCCCATCATGCATATTTATACCCCTCCACCATGCACCCCATAGCGATCACAACAAAACATAGAGCACATGCCACCACAGACAACAGAGAAAACGCATGCTTGTATTTCTTTAGAGGTCCAACAGAGAGAAAACACAGTATTTACCAAGCATCCATTCTCTACAGCGAGAGGAATTAATTGAGGGTTGGATAAAACATCTTTAGAGCCAGCCAGGTAAATACACATCACAGAGCCAATGCTGAAATGGAGGGATGATCGTATTTACATCAGCAGGTGAGGATCCCATTGGTGGGAAGCAGCCATCAGCTGGAGGGAACTATCTGAGCAAGGGCATCAGCTGGCAGAAAAGGCTCCTGTGTTTGCTGAGACAAGGATTCGTTCCTCTCCAGCACCTACAGATACCACAAGCTCACTTTGCCTGCTCCCCCAACAAAAAAATATCACTTTTTGCTCTTATAGCAAATTTCATCTACAACTTGAAACACTAACAAGCAACCCAAGCAGGCACCACTGTCTTCCATCCCTCAAAACAAAGCGGCCACCACTGGGATTAGCTGCTGTGCTGGCAGAGGAAACACAGACCACGGATCTCCAGGGCATCCCCTGGAGACACAGCCCGCAGCACTGAGCCACAAAATAAAGCCACAAAATAAAACAGAAAGTGGGAAAAAAAACCCTCCAAGTTCAATCTTCTGTTCCTATCATCATTGGCTACCCCTACATCAGTTCTTCTATAACCAAAACTCCCCTGTGCACACCAACTCACACGGGCACTCACTGACACCATACAGGTTAATGAGAGCCTAACACCACTTCTTTGGAGACCTTGCAGAGGGGATTTATTCCAGTTTGCAACATGATGTTGATCTTGCTGAAGATGAGCCGGAACAGCATGCGGAGATTCAGTGAATCTCTGTCTGAAAATACATTTGTGAGATAATGCCTCCAAGTAATGTAGCTGTGGTGTAAAATGAAAGCCACAGCAGAAAGAAAAACCAGTGTCCCCCAGCATAAAGCCATTAAAAAAGGGACATCCTGCAGCTTTTGACTGAAAAATCCCAGTCGATACAGATGAACACCCTTTAGAGCAGAGACTGGAAGTTACCTTCTGATGGCTTATACCAAAAGGTCGCTGTCAGGCAAATATTCCAGTCTCTGTCCAAGACCAGACTTATCTATATTAAAATTTCAGGACAAATAAGTCAGCTCAGTCATTTTTTTATTTTCATTGCTGCACAGGGGTAAAAAGTTGGCCTATCAAAGAGATATCACATCCACCTGAAGGGATGCAAAGCGCCAAGAAGAGCTGTTTCAAGATGATTGGCTTCAAAGGGACACCGAGACTCGGGGAGAGGCGCAGGACTCTCAGCTCTGCAAGCTGCCACCTTGGTACCACAGCCCAAACCTCTTCTACGGCTGATAGAAGGAAGAAGGTCTTGTGTAGCCACTAACCAGATTGGTAGGCATGTCTAGTCTTCATTAAAAAAAAGGTGACATTTGAAGAGAGTCAGCCTACTGTAGGTAAAAGCAGGGACATCCCTGTGCATCGTCAGCAGGCTGAAGCCAGCACTGCTGCCTGCATCCCCACACCAGCTGGGGAGGGAAGGCAGCTGTGCCACGGATGGCACCGATGATGGATGCTCACTCTCCTCCCTTTCTGCCTGGAGGCTTTGCTCAAGGAGAATCAGAAGTATTTAGACATTCCTCAGGCTGCTCAGCAGCCTTAAAGCAGTGGTGACACCTTAAGGCTGCAATGATGTCTTTGAACATGTTAAATTTACTGCACTTGCACAGATTAGCGTTGGTGGAGACAGTTGCTCCAGCACATCTGGAGAGACTGAGGTCACTGTGTGCCTGCTCCAGTGAGCATTAGCTATCAGATGAGTAACTTGGTGCAGCCAGTTCATGGAAAAAGTTAATTGAGAGTGACCAAAACACAGTCAAAGGTGATGGGAGCCTGCAGGAGAGGGTGTCCCGAGGAGAGGACCTGGGTCACCTGTTCTGGATTTTGATTCCCTTCACACGTTTCTCTCCGTGAAGCTATCAAGGCGCACAGAAAAATTAGCACTTGCTTAGCAGCGAAGAGCAGCTGAAATCCCAGCAACGTCATAGGCAGAACTGGATCACTCGGGGTGCCCAAGGGCACGGTGTTAGGCTAAGCAGGAGACCCAAACTGGGCTGGGTTAGCAGGGCCAGGCACCCGGAGCTGGCAGACAGGACAGGCAAGGAGGAGAGCCTGGGGCAGCCATGCAGGACCATCCTGCTCCAAACCTGCAGTTTACAGAGTTCATGCCTGCCTCAGGCGTTAAGCGAGGCAAAGGCAAGGCCTTGCAGAGCGACAGGGAGGTGGCTTGGGACGAGCCAAAGTCACCTGGATGGCGCTGGGCCTTGCAGAGAGCCCCGGACACGGTGGAAGAGCACCTGGCCCAGGAGGTACATGGTCTGGAAGATGTTCTGCATGGAGTAGATCCTGCCCGTCGCCGCGAAGAAGGGGAGCGGGGCACTGCGCAGGGGCGGGGGGCACGGGTCTGGCCTGGGGTGCACACAGAATCACACCCGTTATTGCCTGGCCTCGTACAGCACAGGCACAGCCTGGCTTTTGGCAGTGCCCTTCATCCCTTCAGCAGCTCCAAGCATCTCTGGGCAATGCTACTGGTACCCAGATTCCAACATTATCAGGTGAGACAAACCCCTCCAGCAGCCCCTAGGGAGTCGCATGACTCCTCTGATCCCAATCATGGCTGTGTGACAACCAGACCTTCACCAGCTGCTTTCACAGGGGTTGCAGAAGCAGCTCTCCTCCCACCCAGGACAACCCCGGACCTCTATGGGGAAAGGCAGCTCTGATCTAGGATTAAGTTAGAGGCCATTTCTCCACTGGAGAGACTGCAGGGCCCCGGTCCATGAGCAGAGGATCACTATCACCACGTTACTGCTCACAAGCTACACTCAAGGGGCTGAAAAGCAAATGAGCTCTCAGCCCACGCTGTCCGCAAGGCACTGCAAGTCTCAACAACCCTTGTAGAAACCTGGTTAAGTCCTGGTGCCTCATCTGGCAGTGGTCAACTGCCCATACTCCCACCACTCTGCCATGTTGGTGCACATTGCACCAAGAGGACGATGGGCAGAGCCAGAGAGACTGGGCCAAACCAGAACAGGCAGCAAGGGGGATATGCTCTCAATGTGCATCTCAGCAGAAAGCTCACCACCCTGGGGACCAACACAGCTGCCTCCAACAGTACCTGGCACAAACCTCTCTGATGCCAGAAGCGATGTTTCTCTCATGGGACTTGCCAGGCACTGCCTTCCCCTGATCTGGAGACCCTCCCACCTCAGGACACCGACACCAGAGAGCATCAAAGCAGCACAGATGACGTGAGACGCTGATCCCCACCCACCCCAGACGACTCAAGTTCATGCTCACCGCTCATGGTGCTGGCATGGGCTGTGCAAGGCCAACTGAGCAGAGTCACTTGAAGTCCTCTCCCGCCGAGACCTGCTGCTGTGATGGCCCTGCTGGCATCAAACACAACTGCATTAGTGCAAAGACCTGGCTATGGGACAGAAAGAGATCCCACCACCGCTATATCCTCGCTCCTAGGACTCCTAGAACCCTCTAGGTAGCCCTCTGGAAGATGAATTCTGGCTTGGGCTGATAACAGACTTCTGGAGAAACCCAACACTGGGATTGCTCCCCTTTCCCACCACAGGCAATCGCTCTCAATACAGTACCGATCGCCTGCGTTTCTGGGAGCCTGATCTGCTGGCTACGTGCAGAAAAGGGAGCTCCCCGAGGCAGGGGGACTGCGCAGAGGACTCCGGGGACATGTGCACCACCACAGAGGGGACTGTCCTTTGCTGGTTCCGCAGGATGGGCCTCAAACTGGCATCTGATATTTCTACAGAGAGAAGAGAGGGAAGAATTAAACCAACTCGAATGTCCTCAACACAGAAGAGAAATGTATGTAGGAGAGCCAACCCTGTGTCTAGTGCCACCAGACACATCAAAATCTATGTCCTGCAGGTGTAAGCAGCAGGACAGCCCGAAGAGGACACCAGGCCACACTGCTCCAGGCAAGTGACGTTTGGGAGCTGTTTTTCAAAGAGACAGGGCCATTTGTCAGCATCCCAAAGCAAGGAGCCTACCAAAGGCCAAGAGGGAACTGTAAGAGGTATGGAGGGAGATGCCTCCACATTTTGTTCCTCACCTTTCGGAGCTAAGACCTCTCCTGCCTTCTGTTGGTCACCTTAGCCCACCTCTCCCCAAGCATCTCCTCAGTGTCTACCTTCCAGAAGCTGACTACGTTATCTGCCCCTGTTCTTTCCTTTTGCAAAGCAAACCACCAGGGACTTTATAAAGGGATCCTACTCCCAAGGATGTTGTAGGGGCTCCACCAACCTTCAGCCACCCCAAAAGACATCCCAGGACATCACCTGCAAGAGAAATCCTATCAGGGATGTGCATCCGAAAGGAAGGAGGGACATCCTCTGTCACTGGCTCCTCATCCACAGGGCTGAAGCTTTCTGCTACCTTCAGCCTGTTGGGAACCTGCATCCTTTGATTGATGGCTTCGGTGAAGAGCAGGTCACAGCGGACTCGGTTCAGGTCCAGTCCCCAAAACGGCCACATCTTTTTTTTTTTTACTACTTCAGATTGCTTAAGCACTCTGGGGTTTCACACAGAGGAAAAGAAAGCTGAGCAAAAGTGGTAGCAAGCAGCTCTTCCAAACTGGCACCTGCACAGGGACAACACACAATGCTGTAAGTCACCTAAAACACAGGCAGGAACAACCCAAAAGACAGACACCATGGGAGCTGTCCCACAGAACGGGGTGTGCCACAAAGCCCAACTGGCGAACAAGGGCACGGGGCTGCTGCAGGTGGGAACTCCTGCCTGGCAGGGTGAGAAAGGAGAAAACTCCTACATGTCCTGGGAGCACAACATGAGCTTAGCACCTACTGCCTCAACTGACAGCAAGGAAAGGGCGATAGTTCAGCACATCTGCGGGAGAAGAGCAGGTCAGTATATGCTAAAAAAGAGTGGAAAAAACATTTTCCATCCATAAGCAAAGTCTTTTGGAGGGCTGGCAGCACATTTTTGTGTTCATACACCTTGAAGGAAAAACTCTATTCTCAAAAAGCTGCAGCTGAGGAGAAAATCCCTACAGGTGAGGACTGCCAAGACTGGCAGACTCCAGCTGGACCCCAGCACTGCCCTGGCATCTCAGATGTGCCCTGTGCAGGTACAGCCCCCCTGCATCCTCCTTGCTGCCACCCTTTGAGCTCCCTGTGCCCAAAAAGATCCCCCTTTGCTTCCAGGTCAAAATCTCCACCATAAGAGGGGCCGCCTGCTCCAGCACAGCCCAAACTGCTGGAGGAAGGAAAGGTTTACCTTCTCAAAGCTCACAGGGGAGGGAGGATACAAGAGGAGGTGAGCAAGGGGAACATACAGGGTTGCTGCCTCCATCCATCACAGCCAGAGACCACCCTTGGCAGCCGGGGTTGCCCATCACCACCCTCGCTGCTGCTTCAGGCCCTCTCACCTGCCCCAGCCCCCTGCCACCCCATGGGATAGCACCCAGAGGAGAGGAACAGGGGTAAATCCCTGGGGAGCAGCACTGTCTCCTAAAGGACCCCGGGGGATGCAGCCTCAACGCCACTGATCTCCAGCAGCAGCCAGGCCCTGTTCCTCAAGTTACATGAGGGCAGCAGAACCAGCTCCGTGTCTGCAATAACCAGCACTTTCCGTCATCACCTGCTGCTCTCTCCTCCTCTGCTATTAAAAAACTTTTAATTAAAGAGATAGAAAATTGCCCAGCATCAACTGCAGTGATTTCTTGCTTCCAGCCACGCAGAGATGAGATCCCAATCTCCATAATCGGGGCTGTCCCGGAGACACGGTGTGGCCCCACACCTTTCCCACCACTCTGGTCAGACCCAACACAGGCACAGGTGACACCAACCCATGGGTGCCACAACACACACGCACCCTGCTTCTCCCCAAAACCTCAAAGAAAGGGGATTTTTGCAGGAAGCCTCAGCTCAGAAACGGGGCAATAAATACTGGGACAGTCCTATGGGAGAAACTTGTGTCAGACACCAACCATGGAGACCACCTGGTTTCACCTTCATTTTTGGTGCTTTAGAGGAGCGAACACCCTGCGTTGCTTTCTCAGCCTGCTCTCCGGGAAACCAGCATGTATTAATAACAATAAATCTGGAGAGGGCAGATCAGTTCATTTTCTAATCACCTACCAAACCGCTGCAGCTCCCACAGAGCAGAGGGAGGGGAGCGAGAAGCAGGGCTCAGAGAGACTAAGCTGTTAAGAAAAGAAACAAAAACCAGCTGTCAAAACTCATAAGATCAAAATGCTTAAGTAGCCAGATTTCCTCCTTTAACTTTCTTTAGGGCTTTTTCTAGCTATTGCCAGGCCCCGGACCCTCACCAGCAAAGGCTGCTGCTGCTTTGGCACTGCTCACTGAGCCTGCGAGGAGGTCCTGCGAGCCGGGAAAATCTGCCCTGGTAAGAAAAGAAACAAAAACCAGCTGTCAAAACTCATAAGATCAAAATGCTTAAGTAGCCAGATTTCCTCCTTTAACTTTCTTTAGGGCTTTTTCTAGCTATTGCCAGGCCCCGGACCCTCACCAGCAAAGGCTGCTGCTGCTTTGGCACTGCTCACTGAGCCTGCGAGGAGGTCCTGCGAGCCGGGAAAATCTGCCCTGGGGAGG